AGAGAAGAGAAGAGAAGAGAAGAGAAGAGAAGAGAAGAGAAGAGAAGAGAAGAGAAGAGAGAAGAGAAGAGAAGAGAAGAGAAGAGAAGAGAAGAGAAGAGAAGAGAAGAGAAGAGAAGAGAAGAGAAGAGAGGGACAGGGACAGGGACAGACAAATCAGATGGTTCTAGCGGTCCTACTTACCCCTGATAGGTCACAATGACAGGCAAGAACTGTAGACACAGGCCAGACCTTAGTAGCTAAAAACCTTGCAGCCACCCTCCCTGTGTGTCAAGCCTACTCACCTTACTAAAGAAATCCAGAGACTATATTTCCAAATTTGACTATAAATTCCCAGATTTAAAACTTCTAAGCCAGTGTTTGCTGCCTAATCTAATAAGCAGAATCAAGAGGAATGCATCTGCAGTGAGTATACTCTATATTCTTCTTTGGTAAAGCAGACAGTCTCTCCACAAGAAACAACTGTAAGTAACAATGGAAGGAGTATCAGGTACAGGGAAAGAACCTGAGGCTCAAATGGGCAAAGCAGAAAGGAAAGAAGATAGTGAATGTGGCAGAAAGAAGGAAAGAGAGCATATCAATGTAGATCAAAGTTGTAGGCTAAGGCTTTCCGATCCACCATCTGTGGTGGCAGAGCCGCCAGGATGCAGATTTTCGTGAAGACCCTTACGGGGAAAACCATCACGCTCGAGGTTGAACCCTCGGACACTATAGAAAATGTCAAGGCCAAGATCCAGGATAAGGAAGGAATTCCTCCTGATCAGCAGAGGCTGATCTTCGCTGGCAAGCAGCTGGAAGATGGCCGTACTTTGTCTGACTACAACATCCAAAAGGAGTCCACCCTTCATTTGGTGTTGAGACTTAGTGGTGGTGCTAAGAAAAGGAAGAAGTCTTACACCACCCCCAAGAAGAACAAGCATAAGAGGAAGAAGGTGAAGCTGGCTGTACTCAAGTACTATAAGGTGGATGAAAATGGCAAAATTAGCCGTCTTTGTCGGGAGTGTCCTTCTGATGAATGTGGTGCTGGAGTTTTCATGGCCAGCCACTTTGACAGACATTATTGTGGCAAGTGCTGTCTGTCTTACTGCTTCAACAAGCCGGAAGACAAGTAGTTGTGTATGAATAAATAAAAAGACAGGAATTGAAAAAAAAAAAAAGTTGTAGGCTAAGGTGACTAGAAGTTACCAACGTCCAAGTGGGGCTGTACGATGGACAAATGGTGCAGCTCTGGGAGAGAAGGCAGGGGAGGAGAAGGGTAGAACTCTTTCCTATATACTAGAAGGGTCCCCAGGGATAAACCAAAGGAGAAGAAAGCTAGACTAACAAAATTCAAGCTGTAGAGTGTGGAGAAAGCAGCAGCAAATCAGCAAAGTAGAGAAACTGACTACAAGCTCAGGGGTTAGGACCCTGCCAAAGGAACAAAGCTTCAGAGGCAAGTATGGAATATATGTAAACTGAGAGGGCCCTATGTGCTTGGTGTGAGCACTTCAGGTGAGTGGGAGAAATGTGTGCTGAAATAAAGCACAGGTCAAGTGTCAGGAAGGATAGGGGCCTAAGATAAGGAAACAAGACAGAAGCAGAGCAAAGCCCCAAGAAGGAACCGAGCCTCTGGGAAGGCGTCCTTGAAGGATGTAGGGCTATCTGGGGTAGATGCTAGAGAAAAGGTTCTGGAAAGCACAATGCAAGGGAGAACACACAGGCAATCGTGAACACTGATTCAAGACAAACGGAGGCACATACTGGAATGTACCAGGAATAAAGCACAGGTTAGTCACAGATGCAAAAAAAAAAAAAATCAATGGAGAAAGCCAGCAAAGGTCTATATGGGAAGCCAGCTCTCCTCCAAAACCAACAGAGGGGTCTCAACCTGATAAACAGTGCGAATCATTTAAAACCAGGACAGGTAGGCAACAACAGGAGCACAGATGCATACTCCTGTTCCTTTGTCAAGAACTACATATCTGGAAGGTTTGAAACGCCAGTGCAAAGCCAACACTCCACTCAAGAGCCCAAGGCCATACCCTACCCTACTTGTCACCTTGTAGCCACTGCCCACTTCTGCCCAGACTAGGAAGTTCCTGAGGAACACAGAGCCAGCAGCAGGAGCACACCACCTGAAAGAATAATCTAATAAGAAGTGGAAGTGTTCAATACTCACAGGAACAATAAGCCCTTGCCAAGTCAATAAATTAGCTTCATCAACCTGGATGTTACGGAAGTTTTTCATTCCACATTTGCGGATCTCTTCAAGCTCCTGTTGATTAACAAAGCATAAAGGGGTGTCAAATCAGGAAAGCACCACATATTAAGATCCCTCCTGACTCCCTCAAATTAAAACAGGTGACAACATCACTAATACATCATCACCAGAATACACCATATCAGGTTAAGGAGGCATGGAGCCATGGTAGTTCCATCTATAATGCCATTGCCTTTATAGACCCTTGCCCCAGACCAAGCCAAGCCCCAGTCTCAAGCAACCCACTGAATACAATGAGAGGAACCATGTTGCTACAGATATACCACTTCCTCTTTGGGCTGGTCATGCTGCCTGTTTAAATACCCTCAGCAGAGCCAGGTAGTTCACACCTGTAATCCCAGCATTTGGGAGATTAATACAGATGGACTGGTGTGGGTTCAAGGCCAGTTAGGGCTACAAAGTGAGACTCTATCAAAAAGGAAGGGAGGGGGAGAGAGAGGGAGGGAGGAAAATAAAAGGACTGGTGAGATGGCTCAGCAGTTAAGAGTACTGGCTGCTCTTCCAGAGGTCCTAAGTTTAATTCCCAGCAACCACATGCTGGCTCACAACCATCCATAGTGAGATTTTATGCCCCCTTTTGGCATGCAGGTGTACATGTAGACAGAGCACTCATATAATAAATCAGTGAGTAAATTAAACAAAGAAAAAAAGTCAAAGAAAAACGGAAAAAAAGGAAAAATGGAAGAACTGAAAATAAACAAATGAAGTAGCCGTCCCCTAGCTACACAGGGCCCTGAGATGCCTGCAGACCTAACTTTTTTCAAACAAGCACTAGCAATGTACACTCTAAAGATGACTAAGGCTGGAACTCGAAGACAAACAAAGGCAAATGAGTGCCCACAAGTCTTTCCTACCTAACATGCTAAGAGCAATTTCAGTACTCCACCCCAGGACAGGCACAGGCAAAGAGCACAACTGACCAGTATGGGTTGGGAAGGGGAACAAGAAACCAATCAGCACTGAAGCTCAGTTTCTTCAGCTATCAATGGTGCAGTAAGTTCCTGAACTAAAAACAATGAGAGGGAAACTACACCATGACAGACTCTAAATCTATGGGAGTTCTCATAAGTAAATAGATAACATAGCACTTCACTCAGAAAGCACAACCACCATAACAGATTATTTCAGAATTCTGTTTAAGATGTCTTTAAGGCTGCCTGTCACTTGGTTTTCCACTGTGTATCAGCCTCACATTTCCCATTGCTTCGCCAACAACAATGAATATACAGCAGACATCTTACCCAAGCCACCCAGAAAGTACCATGACTCATGCCCACATATACGTGGTCACCTCCCCCAAGTTCCTAGACTGCCACTCCCCACTACTACCTCAATCAGACCTCACAACCAATGAGATGATAGCCTCCCATCCACCCAAGATGCCTTCTCACCTACAACCTGAACATTGACCCTGTCTCATCTACCAGGCTACAGTTCCTCTCTCTCAGCCCACATGCCCTCTAATACAGGAAAGGCTCCCTCCTTAAGCAGCCATGATTCACAATGGCAAAGGCCACCCTATTGGCTTCTATGTCACCAAGACCAAAAGATCCTTTGTATCACACATTCCCACTAGGTCGCAATAGTTTAGAAGACACTATTTCTAGTTAGTAGAGCTAGAGAATCACGGAAGGAGTAATTCTCAAAGCACAGTGAAGCAGAGTCAGTGTACCAGTTCTGAGTTGGAGAGATGTGAGAGGCCTAACTCAGGATGAGCTGAGGAAGAAGAAATGGATGGAATTGGGTGTCCCACAGGAGATTGTAGGGAAATGCTGCCCTTTTCGCAACCTCAGGTGCCTACTATAAGCACCTGGACCAACTCCGGAAATTCTAGTCCAGCAACTGTGGCTAGAGCTTTAATATGGGAATTTTTATTAAGTGGCACAAGAAGGGAAAGGGTGTTACCAAGCTTAACCAGTCCAGTTCTAAGGAAGGTCTAGCCATATTGCAAGCCTCTAATCTACACCAGGGGACATATGGTGAGATAGCCTGATTGCTCTACAAGACAACATCATGGAACCTAAGAGAATACTCTAACCTGCTAGTTACCATCTTGGTCTTCCAACTGCCACTCAGAACTCCTCAGGAACTATGAAATATGGACATACTCAAGAAGGAAAGGTTTCACATGTCACTAACCACTACTCTTCAACTTCATGAGGGCAGGACAGGTGCAGGAGATAAAATATTCCAAACAGAACTTTGAAATCTAGACAACCAAAAAACTTGAGAGGCAGAGGCTGGAGGGTTTCTGAGTTCTTGGCCAGCCTGGCCTACAGAGCAAGTTCCAGGACAGTCAGGGCTACTCAAAGAAACCTTGTCTCAAAAAATCAAAAAACAAATCAAACAAGGAAGGAAAGAAGGAAATATTGAATGTTCATTTAAAAAAAAAAACTTTACATGGCCTGTATACAAACATACTTGACAGCTTCGGTGCTCTATGCGAACAATATGAAGTATGGCTGATAGACATAAGGCAAATTTCATGAAAATTACAAAGATGGGGCAAGCTGGACTTAGTTTTTAGAGGGCAGAAAACCCCAACCTTGTTTAAGGACTGCAGGCTAGGCTATAAGCTTAGCAGCAAGGCAGTGGCCAACTGGCAGCACAAGATCCTACAGCATTCAATCCCAGCACTACAAAATCACTAAGTAAATAAAAGGCACATAGTTTTCTGGGGCTGTAGTTCAATTCATAGAATGCTTGCCTAACACCTATAAAGCCCTGAGTTCAAGTCCTACACTCAGGGTAGATCACAACCACCTCTAACTGCAACCCCTGGTCATTCAACACCCTCTCCTGGCCCAGAGGGTGTACAGACACACACAGATCAAACACCCATACACTCAAAATTCATCAATTAATTTTATAATTTATTTATTTTTAGTGCATTGGTGTGCATGCATGTCTGTATGAGGGTGTCAGATCTTGGAGTTACAGACAATTGTGAGCTGCCATGTGGGTGCTGAGAATTGAACTCAGGTCCTCTAGAACAGCCAGTTCTCTTAACCATCTCTCCAGCCCTCAATTTTTTTTCAAAAAGTAAATTCAAGGCCCATCCTGGGGAACAGAGTAAGTTTCAAGGCTAACCTGGGGAACACAATACTCTCTCTAAGAAAAGAAAAAAAAGAAAACCCATGAAGCTCTGTTCCTAGGTGCTAAGACAAGTGCCTCAGTGCCAAGTTATCAAGCAGATACCTGAACAAAGATTAAAAAAAGCCCCAAGCCTTCCAGTCACAGAAGGAAGGGTGCCACTAATGAGTGCTGAGCTGGAGGCTCAGGAAGTTCAAAGCAGAGTGATCAGATAAACTCTCTTTGCTGTCAGGTTAAGGTACTCAAGAAGGAAAGGTAATTTCCTGTCGAACAGTTCTAACCAAAGAACCCATTATAAGACAGAAATGAGAGCCAAGACAAATAAGCCCTGACATTCGGGAATGCTGGGTATAGAAGAGCGGTTCTCAATGGGATCCAAAACAGAATCATGCAGCTCAGCATTCTGGGTCCTACACAAAAAACATATGCCAGACATCTGGCCCTGTCCTATTGAGATTAACACCCTCTGCAGCCCTAGCTGAGAACAATGGGCACTAAGAATGGCTAGCATGTTAAAATTCCATTATTGCCCAAGATGGTTCTAAGGACAAGAGCTGCCTCCTCCTTCACTGAGGAAAGAAAACTGAAGAGCCACACCGCTCATTCAAAGGTTCTATCTAAAGACCTGAGAGAAAATTACACAAACCCTCAAGATGGTATATCTAAAATCACAACTGTAACTGAGAATGGTCTGGATAATAACAACCTAGTAAAGATTTTCAAGAAACCCATGTAAACTCAGAGGTTGAAGTCCAAAGGCTTTATTACTAATAATGATGGAAAGGAACTGACTAAGAAAAGCTAATGAGACGGTTCAGAGGTTAAAGGTGCTTACCATAGAAGTCTGACAGCCTGAATTCCATCCCCAAGATACACCAGGGTGAAAGCAGAGAAGAGACTCCTGCTAACTGTCCTCTAAACTCCACAACCACACTGTGACATGAGTACCCACTCGTGCACATACAAATTATAGTAAGTAAAGCGTAATTTTAAAATGAAAAGAATACAGCAGCAGTCCAGCTCTTTGAGAATAAAGTCTGAAAGATCTAAGCAAGAATGGCACGCGCTTACAGAACACACTTCCCCAAAAGATTTATTTCAGTTCTGCTCAATGCCAAAAGCAACCTGGGGTCAGCTGCTCAGGGCTGATGGTGCAATGCTAACAGCCAAGAGATGAGCCAAAAGAAAGCAGAACCAGTCAACTCCTTAGTCCCTTCTGCAAGAGGGCAAGCAGCACCCAGAAAAGCCCAAAAGAGGTCCCTCTTGGAATCCAGCTGCTCCCAGCTTTAGAAGGAATCTGAAAAAACACAGGGTACTGTTCAGTTTCTGTGGGGGTTTTGTTTTTGTTTTGGGTGATGCTAGATATCAAACCCAGGGCCTCAATAACTGTAGCAGTACACACTCTATTCTTAATACACACACACAAAAAAAAAAAAAAAGAAGAAAAAAGAAAACAACAACAACAAAAAAAACCACACAAAGAAATTCCAGGGCCTCAAAAGTGCTAGGCAAGCAAACACTCAACCACTAAATTATAGCCTGTGGTGGTTTGAATAATAATGACCCCCATACACTCATATGGGGGTTTGAATGCTTAGCCCTAGTTTGTGGTATTGTTTGGGAAAGATTAGGAAGTGTGGCCTTGTGGCGCAGTGGTAGCACACATCTTTAGTTCCAGCACATGGGAGGCAGAGGCAGGTGGATTGCTCTAAATTCGAAGCCAACCTGGTCTAGGACAGGCTTCAAAGCTACACAGGGAAACGCTGTCTCAAGAAACCAAAATGAATGAATGAATGAATAATTTGATTAATTTTTTAAAAAGGAAGTGTGGCCTTGTTGGAGAAAGTATGTCACTGGGGGTGGTGGGCTTTGAGGTTTCAAAAGCCCACACCAGATCCAGT